GGTCACCCTGGCCACCAGCCGAAGTATTATCTCACGTGGAGAAAAATAGATCGGGGTGTGGATGAGGGGACTCTCACTCATTGAGCTCATTGAGTCTCGACCGTTACATTGCGATGGTCACGTTCCCAGTGAGAGAACGTGACACACCCACGAGCGCTGTCTGAGCGCGATCAAAGCCCAAACACTCAAAACAGCGCTCGCGCCCATCAGCTGAATCTATCAGAATACCACACTCAGAAAAACACGGGCAGATCGTCTTTAGAAAGACGCGTCTTTAAAAAGACGTGCCGCGTGCAGCTCTTTAGTGAGAGGAAAAACTCCGCGGATGTTGAAGCGACCAGGGAGAACACACAGACTGGCAGACCACTGCTCAGCTCGCAGGCAATGTGAAACTCGCTGGATACCGCCGTCACACCAACACCGGAGAGTTCGCTCGTCTCGAAGAGATCTAGTCACTGAGAAAACTCAGAATTTGGCTTGTGGAGTGAAGAGATGCTCTTGGCTCCGAAGCGAAAACATGATCTGCTGTTGCAGGTGTCTCTCCTTAAATACCCACGCGGTGGGGCGGAGATACATTATGCAAATTCCGCAGACCCATGGCATTTCATTGCCATAGGCTCGTTTTTTAATACTCGAAGATGATAGGCTTTCTGGCGAAACCCCCATTCTCCGTCATCCGACGTAACTCGGAGTGACTACGAAAGGGAACATGCTTACTCTTTTTTTGTATAATATAATGTATATATACATATCAATATTTTTATTTTATATTTTTTTTATATATATATTTAGGGGTCCAAGCACTGAAGGTCCTGGAACCCTGTTATTTGTACAGATTTTCTTCTTCCTCTTCCTCCTCAACATCATCACCATCATCTTTTTCCTGCCCTAAAAGTGTATGGGCGTTAATTTGTCATTTGTAAATTGTAATTTTATATATATATATAACATATTGCAGTTCAACACACTGTTTTGCATCATTTAAGAATGTAATCATATCCAAATACACCAACTTGAGAAGATAATATCATAAGAGCAACATTTTTGGAGGTAAAAGATCAAGGGAGACACAATGTAATTGCAGCATTTCACATAACTAAGAACGACAATCTCTACAAAACCATTTAGGGCCAGATTTACTAACCAGGGTAAATTAACGCAGCCATGGCAAGCGCAAAATGGGACAAGAAATGCTTTTTTGGGTGTTAAATAATGGCTCAAATAGACTACCGCAAACCTCACGTGGCATGATTTATTTAAATACTCTCCTCCCATAAACTTTGAAACTGAAAGGGAAACTCCTAAATGCATATGAAATAAGGTCAGGTGCAAAAACAACTGTCCACACATTTCCATTTCTAATTTTTCACTGCAGGTCTTTAGTAAATCATGCAAGTAGTTTTTGTTTAATGCCATGTTTGGCATAGTAAAATTAGTCTGTAAATATTTCCCTGTGAAAAATAAATAAATATTACTCTACCACAACCACAGTGTGATGTATGAAGCTTCTTAATGATAAAAATGCAGTGTATTGGGCTCTAAAGCTGTCTCTCCCCAATAAAGAACCTCCTGCTGTAAAGAATTTACTCTTTGCTCTCTCCCTAATATATTACGTCTACCTAAGGGGTTATTCATCTAACGCAAAACCTCTCTGTAATGTGCAAATAAAAGGTCAGATGCTGCCGTTGATAACAGATGTCATCTAATCCTTTTCTATAATATGGCGTTAACTGACTGACTGTCCCCAAGTCTAAGAGATCCTGCTGGCTTGGCTCGCTGTATTTAGAAGTTCATTGATTTGCATTTGCATGTTCACTTTGCTCATTCAACAATCGTAAAAAAAGTTAATACCTGCTGCTTAGGGATGACTGCTGATGTCATCAAGAATGGAAGAAACAGGTGGAGGTGGCAATCAAGAAACAGGTGGAGCAAACATTGTTTTCTAACGTTATGAGCCAGTAGGAGGCTGCAGTTTGTTTGTGGCTTCAGGAACTTACTTTGACATGGGAACAGGCCGACTGAGCCAAGTGAATGTAAGCTTATGTAAATATAACCTTGAATTTTGGCTGATGAGATGTATTTGGCCCTAAAACCTGCAGCGTAATGAGGTTCTGCTGGAATAATAGCTCTGTTTTTCCAGGGGCCGATTCCTCCTTTCTTGCATGAGCATTGATGAATGGCTCTGAGAAAAAAACTCATTCAGAGAGGGGGCTTATTACATTCACCGTGAAATGTATTTCCTGCAACATTGTAAAAATGAATGAGCAAATGAACGTTTCAGTGCATGCCGCCTGAGTTTTTTTTTAAATCAGATTGTCACAAATTGGCAAAACAGTGAGTGTAATGAGAACAGTTCTGAGATAAATTTAGTAATGCTTAAAAATGACTAATTATCGAAATTAGTTTTTATGAAAAATAAGTGACAAGATGAAGTACATATTTTGAAAGTTATACAGTGTATATACACTCACCGGCCACTTTATTAGGTACACCTGTCCAACTGCTCGTTAACACTTAATTTCTAAGCAGCCAATCACATGGCGGCAACTCAGTGCATTTAGGCATGTAGACATGGTTAAGACAATCTCCTGCAGTTCAAACCGAGCATCAGTATGGGGAAGAAAGGTGATTTGAGTGACTTTGAACGTGGCATGATTGTTGGTGCCAGAAGGGCTGGTCTGAGTATTTCAGAAACTGCTAATCTACTGGGATTTTCACGCACAACCATCTCTAGGGTTTACAGAGAATGGTCCGAAAAAGAAAAAACATCCAGTGAGCGGCAGTTCTGTGGGCGGAAATGCCTTGTTGATGCCAGAGGTCAGAGGAGAATGGCCAGACTGGTTCGAGCTGATAGAAGGGCAGCAGTGACTGAAATAACCACTCGTTACAACCGAGGTATGCAGCAAAGCATTTGTGAAGCCACAACACGCACAACCTTGAGGCGGATGGGCTACAACAGCAGAAGACTCCACCAGGTACCACTCATCTCCACTACAAATAGGAAAAAGAGGCTACAATTTGCAAGAGCTCACCAAAATTGAACAGTTGAAGACTGGAAAAATGTTGCCTGGTCTGATGAGTCTCGATTTCTGTTGAGACATTCAGATGTTAGAGTCAGAATTTGGCGTAAACAGAATGAGAACATGGAACCATCATGCCTTGTTACCACTGTGCAGGCTGGTGGTGGTGGTGTAATGGTGTGGGGGATGTTTTCCTGGCACACTTTAGGCCCCTTAGTGCCAATTGGGCATCGTTTAAATGCCACGGCCTACCTGAGCATTGTTTCTGACCATGTCCATCCCTTTATGGCCACCATGTACCCATCCTCTGATGGCTACTTCCACCATGTCACAAAGCTCTAATCATTTCAAATTGGTTTCTTGAACATGACAATGAGTTCACTGTACTAAAATGGCCTCCACAGTCACCAGATCTCAACCCAATAGAGCATCTTTGGGATGTGGTGGAACGGGAGATTCGCATCATGGATGTGCAGCCGACAAATCTGCGGCAACTGTGTGATGCCATCATGTCAATATGGACCAAACTCCCTGAGGAATGCTTCCAGCACCTTGTTGAATCTATGCCACGAAGAATTGAGGCAGTTCTGAAGGCAAAAGGGGGTCCAACCCGTTACTAGCATGGGGTACCTAATAAAGTGGCCGGTGAGTGTATATATACACTGTATAACTTTAAAAATATGTATTATTATTTTTTATTATATTAATCTGTCTCTCTCTCTCTCTTTCTCTCTCTCTCTCTCTCTCTATATATATATATATAGACAGATTAATATAAAAAATATACAAAATAATAATAATATGCACTTGAATGCAATATGAATGATAATTAAGTATAATCATATTAATATTATGATTGTATATAATCACTTCTTAAAATGCATCAAATCACATTTTTACTACCTGTTACAGTTATGTGTGAGTATATTGTCTATTTTGTCCATATTTTGTCTGATTTTGACTGATTTGATTTTGATTTGACACTTGCTGATTTAAATGAATGATGCAATGGGCAATGTGAAGAATTTATCATTTAAAAAATGAGCACAGAGCATCCATAGTTCATTCTCATTATTCAAACTGTCAGTCATTTCTCTGTTAGTCTAAACCAGCAAATTTAAATTATGAAGTGGATTAGAGAAAGAATGACAACACAAATGGATTCTAAGACCCTTATTATACTTTCCCTTATTTACAAGGGCTCTTATTCTTCAGCCATCAGTCACACACACACGCACTCACACACACACACACACACACACACACACACACACACACACACACACACACACACACACACACACACACACACACACACACACACACACACACACACACACACACACACACACACACACACACACACACACACACACACACACACACACACACACACACACACACACACACACACACACACACACACACACACACACACACACACACACACACACACACACCTGCTACAGGTAGTGCAAATATCATTTGATGCATCTGAACACTTCCCAAGATTATTCACCTCACCATATTAATATTTAAACCTGTCAAAGATATCATAGTATGAACTCCCTGTGGCAGATATTAGGGGCTATTTTTGCTCCAGTCATAATATTTTATTCATAGGCAGTAGTTATTCATTTTGTAGCTCATATTACCAGGAGCTGGGCATAATTTGTTAACCATACAATACAATGAGGGACAGAATGAAAACCTCTGTGCTTTCAGATTCCCTCAAACAACTCCTGTATCTGTCCAGTGCCATTTTTTAGACTCAATATGCTGACTGAAATGACCACACTATGCAAATTAACATAAGAACATCCACGACTTCATCCTTTTATTTATTACTGAATATGGCAACTAAAATGTATTGTGTAGAGGGTTGTTTCTTTCGAAAGAAAGAAAAAGAAAGGAGCGAGAAAGAAAGTTGTAAACTGTTCCATTAATTCAGCTCTGATACACTTCCATGAATCCGGTTACCTGTGCTCACTGGGAAATTGGGAATGTCCTCATAGCGGATGATCTGTTTATTTGAGACACTGTCTGCGAGAAGTCCCAGTCCAGAGCCGCACACGATAGCTATCTTTGGCCTGTGTCTCGTCCTGCTCAGCAGCCATTCTGTAGTCAGTTTGCAGTCCTCAAAGGAACAGCAGCTGAGTCGAGAGAAAGAAAGACACATTAGAACAGGTCACATTGATAACTGCTCAAATTGTGTCTGATAAGATACAAAGTGAAAATAAACAATCATCTGATTATCAGCCGATGCTTACAATGAGAAACATGTTAATATTTCGGAGATCATCAAGACATTTTTATGTAATATCAACATCATGATCAGATATCAATACGCCATATTTGACATAAAATTACGCCATATTTGACATTAAATCCCCCCATAATGTAAGAACAATCAAACTGTAATAATTTTGCATCATTTTTATTACATCACAAGATTTCCGGAGTCAGTTATGGAAATAAAATGGCATAGCACACAGGAAATTAACTAATATAAATGAAACCACAGAGACCCTCTTGATAGTTGAAAATATGCTGGCAAAAAAGCTGAGAATATTAAGCTGGCGTAATGTGGTTAAAGCTGGTAAAAAATAAGTAGAAATCAAAGTGAACATGCAAACAGTGGACACATTTACAGTTTCTAAAAGCAGTTTTGACGAGTCCTAAACGCAAATTTACAGCATGCAGTTGTCAAGGCTCTATTTAATTTGCATCTCATTTGAAGATAATTCTGCATAGTCTCCGTATTGTGAGTTGTGTTTGGCAGGACTGATATTTTGTATTGGCCTTACTGATTTGATTAAATGCATAAAGGATCTTACTCTAAGATAACAGCTGTGAATCCAAATTACATTATCGACTGACACTTTTAGTAAACAGAAAATGTAAATATGTTTTCATCAAATATGTTCCTTTACTCATTCTCTGGTATGTATAGTATATATTAATGACATAAAACTAAAATTTACCATGAGTTTTCCTTGGTGTGCATGATCTCAGTCACAAGTCACAGGCTGACAGCACCTGGAAAAAGTGTGTACTTGTTCTATGAGAACAGATAAGAAAGAGATAGCTTAGAATAACCCCTCAAATGACTATAAGGTCTCGTCTCATTGGCTGCATTAATGGTGAGAGCAGGAAATAATCCTTTCCAAGAAATTATATGACCCTGTCCCCCGAGAAACTTTACTTTCAGACACTAAAATAAATGCAATTTACTCAAAATGCAGACAACCGTGAAGAAAGCTAAGAAAGTGAAGAAAGTGTATAATGCGTCTTTTATGTTAGATCTACTCGTAACTAAAAATTGGTTGAGAACTATCACTTAGATTATGGGTCTTAAAGGGATAGTTCACCCAAAAGGTTTTATCCTGTCACCATTTACTCAACCATCCAATCTTGGCTATGACTTTCTTCTACAAAACACACACACAAAAAACTATCAAACTATATGAACTATCTCTTCAAGAGGGAATGTTCTGACTTAAGGAAGCTTGAACAAATGTTTTGTTCTGTATAAAGCTGCATTTTTACCGTGGCATTAGCTCGAGAAAATAATCCTATGAAAACACATCGTCTACCCACATCAGTCTATGCGAGGTAGCGTGACTTAGACTGGTAAATAGCAAACACTTTTACATGTTTGTGCACTTTGCTGAGGTGTGTGATTACTGTATACATTATATATTAGAGCTTTGAGGCCCTAATACTGTGGCTTGGAAATGGATTGGCAGACTCAGTGTTGGAAAGGTGCGACTCTAAATCTAAATACGCTGATGCATTTACAGCAGTGTCTGAAGCATAATTTTTATATATTGAGCTGAATCTAAAGATAGAAAACTATAAAATAACCTAATCTGAACATTATATGAGAAACCACAATTAGGCAAAATATGTAACTTACTGTTTTTCACTAAATTGCATTAAATTGTGACTTTTATTATTTACGTATTTAATTTGTTGAATGAAACAAGCGTATCAGGACTCTTTATTTTGTGCCAGGGGTCCAAGGTAGTTCCTGTCAATGAGTAACATAACCAGATGTTAAATTATGTAACAGATACTGTAGGACATGATATCCACGCAAAGCAGACTGACCAACAGCGTCAGAAAAGTGAATGGATTAATCATTCATTCTACTTTTACTGAGTTCAGATGGTTCAAAGATTTGTCAAGTGCATATTTCCAGCTGAAAAGGAACATAGGGAAACACAGATCATGAGTATCTGTACACACATAGGCTAACTATTAACCTAGCTCTATAGGTCAACTCACTATTAACAGCTCACGTAAAAACTATTTATTTTTTGCCATTTCACACGTTTAAAGGGTTAGTTCACCCAAAAATGAAACTTTTGTCATCATTTAATCACCCTCAAGTTGTTCTAAACCTGTACAAGATTCTTTGTTCTGTTGAACACAAAAGAAGATATTGTAAAGAATGTTGGTAACCACTAACCAGACTTCCATTGTACTTTTTTCCTACTATGAAAGTCAATGGCTACATCTGGTTATCAACATTCTTCAAAATCTCTTCTTTTGTGTTCAACAGAAGACAGAAACTCATACATGTTTGGAACAACATGAAGGTGAAATGACAGAGTTTTCATTTTTGGGTGAACTATCCAACTAACTATTTAATTTGTAAAAGTTTACAATTCAGTAGGTAGAATGAATGCCTTATCGAATCAGGACATTGATAAGTTAAGTTTTAATCCGTATAATAATGTCAACGTTACTCTGTTTATTAGTATTTAGTTTATAGGTCCTTTCAGAGGTGTAAAGTCCAGGGGTCAGAAAGTAAAAGTCCTGCCATATGTTTATTCCACCCATGAACTCAGCCAGCTGATTAGTTCTATCTCCTGGCTGAAAAACTGTGCTAATTAGCAAATCCAGGTGATTGGAACAAAATACTGAGGAGGACTTTTACTTTCTGAACCATGGACTTTACACCTCTGGGTCCTTTACATACAATCTACAAGCAATCACATCATCATCGCATGGCACAAGCTGATTGGCCTCTGCTGATCCTGCAGTCAATGTGATTGCTTGCTCACAATTTAAACAGTCTGGTTCATTGTTTGCTGTAAGCTAGTCCTGCAGTGCGCAGTTCCTCTGAAATCCTCCACCTCCCCCAGCTCCACCTGCCTACATCTGCTGTGGGATTTATGTATCTACTCTATTTACGCAGCAGCAGCATATCTTACATGCTCACAGCAGCATGCCTGTGTATCTATTAGCAGTAGCAAGTCCATACTTGCTCTGCAGCAGCAGCGAAATCAGCGAATTCTTGTGCAGCAAATCAGCATTTTAGAATTCCGAAGGATCATGTGACATTGGACTGGAGTGTATGACTGGAGTGATGGCTTCTTTTTTCTGTATCTAGGCCTATCTATTTAAAACAAGACTTTGTCAGACAAGACAAATAGATTTGTCAAGTCAATAAAATCAAAATCTTACATAATCTCCATCTGGACTGCTATTGGACTGGTGTTGTGTTTTGATCAGATTTCATTTGACGAGCCCTGCAGGGAGGACGGGTTAGACTGACCGTGACTGTTTGTCCAGACATACAGTCTTGCCAGCTGTCTCACCAACATACAGGTGCTGGCAGAGCTGTGGGGTCCCTTCAGTTAGCAAACAATCTTCCAGCAAGAGCATGTGGTCAAGGTAAATGAACATTTTAGGAACTGGCAGTGCATGTTACGTATTGCATGTGTGTGTTTAATGGATGACTTGGCATGGATATCAGACATGCCATCTGTTCACTCATCACAAATTATTTGATAAGATTTCAATAATGATGCATGCTATTTAAAAACAGTATATTACATCACACACTCTCCAGTACAATAAAATCACTTTTGAAAATCACATAATTGTGAAACATATTTGCAGTCACGCAGAAGTCAAGCAACACCAAAAACTTACAAGAAAACTTACATTGAAACTTACTAACAAGAAACTTACATTGCTCGGGTGATGTAGCATGTTAGCCTGGTTAAAACCAGACCATTCTCAGTTGTAACTGAGTTATGGTCTGGCAAAGCGTCATAGACAAATCATTTCCAGAGGGGCGTCACCAACGGACGTCTCGGATAGACCTAAAACCAATCAGAGCGATGAAGGAGATGACGTATGCAGAGTGGCGGAGAAATATCTCCGAGTGTTGTTCTTTGCTCGGTTTTTAACAAAAAGGAAACGTTCAAATCGCTTAAAACAGACGCGATAGCTGATTCGAACGAGTGATGTTCGACGGCGGCATCCATCTTTGTAATGTAGGCTACAAAATCTGCTTCAAAATCCCAGTGCTGTCGTCATCGTGTAAAGCCCGCCCCAACGTTTCTGATTGGTGCCTCGATTTTGACGGATTGGAAATGGGTTTGAATGAGCTCTTTGCCAGACTAACTTTCAGAGCAAATCTAAATTTGCCGTTATCTGGGTTTTCCCAGGCTAGTAGCATGTATCATACCTTCATCGTTGTTGTTGCAGAAGTATATGTTTTCAAAAAGGCTCCCTTCTGTATCATACCTATATCAATTCCATAATGCATCCAGACTGGTTTAATTGCACATAGCTTCACTAACATCAGCTCAATGGACTTAGATCATCAACCTATAATTAATCATCTCACCTGACTTTATTGAGGTCAAAGGTTAATGATCCATCAAGCCTATATTCGATGGGTGGCCGTGACTGAAATGTCAAGCCTGAAACCTCTAGACTCTCCTGACTGGTTTGCTCCACAAGCAATTGGTAACTTAAGATGACTAGACTAATAATGACATCACTTTACTAAGTGTCAATACCATCTTACTTTTGAATCAATATTTGATCTTTGTGGAATTCTTCCTTCATCTCTCCTCTGTCAGAAAACATTGCTTATTTAACTGCGGGGAAAAAAATTGACTTGTTTCTCTTGGGGCAATTTAAATCAATAATATTTCTGCTTCTTACTCACATTGTACATGGATCTTCCGCCAATAAAGCACTGAAATCAAGGTCACATTGTGTGAGCATGCAAAACCAGATATTGCATATTCAGGCCAATATCTCTGAATAAAAAAGTCCCAAGAAGTTTCTGTCCCAACGAACTTGACAAATCAGACTCAAGTACATTTCAATGGAACAAACTGCTGATGCAATCAGGGAAGCACATATCCAGATCTATAATTCTGTGCGTCACATCAGCAATTTCTCAGCTGAGAGCTCAGGACTAATCATGTATTAATAATGATCTTACAACACAGCCATTGTGAAGCTGTTCATGATTCTGTCATTGTTTACTCGTTCCGAACTTGAATTACTTACTTTCTTCTGTGGAATGCAAAAGGGGTGTTTACTGTATGTAAAAATTTGAATTTCGGCATTTTCTATTAATCAACACATTAATACATGACACCATGTTTTACCTTTACATCGACCTCATAAATTAGATTTAAAGTAGCATATTTGTAATTTAAGTTTTCAAAACGGTCTTATAATTGTTATTAAGAAAATCATGAATCGTGAAAAGCAAGCAAGAGAGTAAAAAAAAAAACATAGAATAAAATCTGTCTCAAATATTGCAATCTATTGCTATATTCTGCATAGGTGTCAATTTTAAAGCCAGGACAGAAATCTTTGATGCTAAGGTGCATAATGAAAATTTATATGAGAGAAGGCAGCAAATTGTGAATTTGTCATTTAATTTCTGCCTTTAATGGTTATGCACATACAGACACGCACACACAGAAATGTTTGGGAACAGCAACTCCAAACTTCAATCACAGATAAAAATTTATACCACTCCAATGCTAGAAATGTCTTGTGTAATGTCACAGAACGGGTATTACATTATCCCCAAAAATGCTTAATGTTCCTTGAATGGAATTTTCTTCTGGTAAATCAGCTGAGGAAACTGGGAAATTACTTTTTGACAAATAACATGTGATACACCACTTTCTATTAATCTTTGAATAAATTCAATTGCAAACGAAGGTAGGCCTATTATAATTCAGATCTCATTCTCCATATGCATACTAACTTACATGATATAGCCTGCGCGCGTGTGTGTGTGTGTGTGCGCGC